CCGAGACCCACTCGTAGAAAACCCCCCCCCCCCCCCCCCTAAACGCTGGTTTCAAACTACGTTTAAACATATTAATTGCAGCTGTGTTAGTTGACGTATTATCAAAAGTAATAGTTAAAACTTTATCTTCTATCTCATAAAGCCCAAAAATTTCCATTATTGTACCAAAAATAGATGATGCGTTATGAGGATATGGACATAAACGAAAACCAATTATTCTTTTTTGTAAAACCCATTCGTCATCAACATAATGTGCTGTGATACATAAATATCCAATTTTATTACACCCATCCCATAGATCAGAAGTCCAAGAGACAGTAGCATTAAAAGTCCTAAAATTATCAACAAGAGATTGTCTCATTGCACAAAACACTTTCATGCAATCAGAACGAGTTGTGTTTCTACTTACCCGTTTAAATTATGAGCAGAAGGCCGTCTGGATGAATTTTTCGAACAACGTATCATCCGTAAAAAAAAGAGGCAATTCGGCACTAGCTAGAAATTTAGCTAGTGCCTCACGAGCACGTTGTGCATCGTATGTAAAATTTTGTAACCTCTGTGATGTAAGTGATAGTGTTTGTTGGCAGGAGTCCACACGCCCACCTTGGTACAACAGTAGACATACTTTCTAATGTCTATCCAGATGACCAGTACCCCCACCCTTTTTATTAGAAAAATGTTTTTTACAATACTTACATACCGCATGAATTTTCATTTCACCTGTTTTTAGATTTGGTCGAGGCTTCTTGGTGAAATGCTGTCATGCCGGAGAAGTTCGCTGTCTTTTTCTCCTGATGCGTTCTCCAGCTTCCTCGTTATGCACTGAAGCATTATCTACCGAAGCATTTCTTGTATAGTAGGAGTGGGGTTGGGAGGCATCATTTCATCCTCAAAAAATGCCTCATCACCAAGCTCGGGAAGAGCAGTGAAATCAGGGAAGTTTGATGAGACCATTTTTATAGAAATTGATTGAACTTGAACTTTATAAATGAAAGAGCAAGAAAATGAGTGATCGCGACATACCGCACGAATTTCCATTTCACCTGTTTTTGAATTTGGTCAGGGCTCCTCGGTGAAATGCTACCATGCCGAAGAAGATCGTGGTCTTTTTCCCCTGCTGCGTTCTCCAGCTTCCTCGTTGTGCACTGAAGCATTATCTACCAAAGCATTTTCTGGTTCAGTGGGGGTGGGGTTGGGAGGCATCATATCATCCTCAAAAAATGCCTCATCACCAAGCTCAGGAAGAGCAGTGAAATCAGTGAAGTTTGATGTGGCCATTTTTTGAAAATTGATTGAACTTGAACTTTATAAATGAAAGAGCAAGAAAATGAGTGATCGCGAGAAAAAATCTTAGAATCAAAATCAAAAAGACAAGATGAGAGATAAAATGAGAGTGAGATGAGAAGTTAAGAGTAAATTATTGTGTGGGATTTATGGTGGAATTAAGGGGTATTTATAGGGGATTTTTTGGGCCATTTTCATATTGTTACCATTGGGCCCTAACGAGAGGCCCGTCACGGGCCAAATGGGAGGCCCATCACGGGCCGACCGTTGGGCCCGTGAAGGGCCCAACAGTCACATTTAGAACGGTCTGTGGGCCGTTTGACGGGCCATTTCACAGGCCTGGGCCGGGCCGAATCCAGGCTTGGGCTAGGCCACGGGCCTTCACGGGCTTGGGCCGCGGGCTGAGAAGCCGAGGCCCAACCCTAGCCCATTACACGAGCCGGGCCGGCACGGCCCGTAACAATAGCGTAACGGGCCGTGCCAAATCCGGTACTATTACGGGTTGGGCGGGGCCGTCCATAGACAGCCCAGCCCAATTGACAACACTAACTAAAGACGACACATTGTTAGTTTTATATCCTTGTCTGCAAAAAGGAGATGCCGCGTACTATTTTAACAAAGAAACCACATCGCTAATTTTAATTTTTTTTGTTTTTTTGTTTTTGGGTGAAACATCGCTAATTTTAATTGGAAATAATGACAAGGTTATCCATGGTGCTGTCAAATCCAGGAAAATAATAAAAACGACGTCAAAGGTTTCTTACTTTCTTTATGCCCCTTTGGTAGGGCCGACAATATGGGTTACGACACGACTCGAAAACGATACGAATTTTGCGGGTTAGGGTTGAGAAAAAAAGAGGTTCGGGTCTGAATTGGGTCGACCTGAAATTGACACAAAAAACACGGGTCAATTTCGGGTTGGACCCCCCTAATCCGAACACGACACGAAACTCGTAAAAAACTAAAAAATACATATATTTTTCATTTCATATTTTAAATTTTATTATGAACTTGTGATATTATGATAGTTATACTCAAAATCTTATACTATTATTTGCTTAATTTTAATGGATATTATTGTAATTTAGTGTGTTATGAATTTTAAGTTATTTTTAATATGTAAATACTAAATAAAAGTATATAATTTTCGTGTCAATTTCGGGTTCACGGGTCAATTTCATGTCACGGGTCATTTTTAGGTCGTGTCGTGTCAACTCGTAAAGTGGTCGTGTTGTGTTCGTGTTGCGGTTTTTAAAAAATTTCGTGCCACGGGCCGTGTTCGGGTTTAACTGCAAATTTAAAAAGAAACGATCAAAACACGACACGAACACGACACGTGACACGAATTGCCACCCATATCCTTTGGCGACACAAGGGTTAACTTCTCAAGTCTCCTGGAAATTATCAACCTATCTTGTACTAATACAAAAAGGATAAACGTAACTAGTCTTTTCATTTAAAAATTTTATTTATTTATTTATTTTTATTTTTTAAGTCAAGCAAAACCAAATATCACGATAAGATTGTGCATGCATCTAAATAAGAAATATCAGGAATGAGACATGTAAATTTGGTAAAAATACATACAGCCAACTATATTATACAAGAATAACTCCAACCGTGTTAGTTATTTTATGTTTTTAACT